GTATATTTACTATTTTAAAAATTATAAATGTTTTGACGAGCCCCGATAAATGTTTTGAAAAATATATATTTAAAAAAAATAGACTTGTAGTACTAGTAGCTTTATTTAAAAAAAAAAAAGGCGAGCCGAGCCGCTCTCTCCGAGCTCGCCCAAAAGGCAACGAGCCGAGCTCAAGCTCGGCTAGTTGCCAATGAGCCACGAGCTCGGCTTGTGCTCGTGCGACAATGGGCCGAGCCGGCTCGGCAAGGTCCGGCCCATTGACACCACTACTTGGAGTAGTAGAAACTCACTCCACCTTGAAGGGGAGAGTTAAAATATTGCTACCAACTTGCACCAGCTGCTGCCTTTCCTAAATTCCAGGAGTGGAGCAGCATGTTAGTTATCCAGCTGGCATATTATTCCTAGAATGTTCCCTGTATGCACTCTGCTTGTATGCGTTTAGTGTTATTTAATACCTTTGTAAATGACTGATTTCGTATTGAATCAAGTGTGAGGTTTCAATCATTTTATCTATTTCTCTAACTGACTATGAAAGATTCGATCTTTATGAGGTTGAGGATGGTGCCGATAATAGAAATGTTGGTGAAAGATCGGATACCTGATTACTGAAAATTTGAGCTTTATTAACTGAATATGGATTCTGAATTTGAAAACGATGATTATTTTGATTATGTAGAATATGAAGAAATATTGAGGTGTCAGAGTGAGAAAGTTGAAGAGGAGGTGGGTGATTAAGGATAAAGAGAAAGGTTTACCAGCTGGTGCTTTGATAGTACGAAAATATATGTGAAAGACGGAATGGAGGGAATGGTGCGCTTTGATGGTTCGCTGAATTCTTATTGCCATTTAGGAAGAGTTTGCATCTTAGGGCATCGAGGGGGCGCACGGGCAGGGTCAGAAGCACAATGGAGCAGAAGGCGAGGATGTGGTGGTGAGGGTGCCTCCGGGGACAAATGTGAGGGAGGCTGATGGGGATGTTCGATTTGTTGCATCTAGGTCAGAAGGCATTGCTATTACGTGGAGGGAGAGGTGGGAGGGGGAACACATCGTTTAAGCCGGGAATGAATAAGGTGCCCATATTGCAGAGAATGGGGAGGAATGTATGTATTTTCATTTCCGAAAACTCTCTTGAATTGCACCTTTTAATGCATCCTTGTATCGTTTGTATGTAATAACCATCATGTTGAAGAGTTGGCTCATTCCCCATTATTATACAATTGGTTGATTTCTTTATGGAATTGCTTCTTTGTTTTAACGCTATGTCAACTGTGATCCTCTGAAGTTAATAGTGTCTGTCTAATTTGTTGGTCTATCGTCTCTGTGAGAGAATGCTATTTATAAATGACCCCTTCAAGTTTACCTGAGGAAATACACTTTCATAAGAGAACTGAGCATTTTATGCAGAAGATTCGCATGGATGCCAGTTAAATAGGTTAAGTGTCAATAGATAATATACTAGTGTTTATGAGTGTGTTATATGCTCTTTTGTTAGTAAATTGTGTTACCAAATGATTTGAGATATGGAACTACTTCTTGGAGTGGAATTTTGGCAGAAAAGAGGTTAGATGACGGCCTTTCTGCACAGAGATATTTTAAGCTCTACAAATAGCAAGAAACTCATTTCTTGAGTCATTTTTCGTTCAATCTTTGTATAGAATATATTGCAGATTATCAAACCAGCATGGAAAGGGTGTTACGAAGTCAAAGAAGAACTCTGCTGAGAATAAGTTTTTATTACTTCACCTTGGTTTTTTGTTACCTCATACATCACATAGAGCAAAACTTCATCTGATAAATCTAGGTACATTGGATTATTAACTGAAAAAAATATGTGGACAGTTGTATGATTTTTTAGTTGAAGAATGAAAACATAGTTTGTTCGCATTTAATTCTTTTTGAAATTTCAATTTTAATCTTCTGGACCAGCTATGAACTTGGAATAGCTCCCAGATGACTTTGTCATATTTGGTGAGAGAAGTGGGAATTCCTAATCAGAGGCTCTTGAACACCAGACTCGTTTAAAAGCTATAATAGAGAAAATAAATAAATAATAAAAAATAAAATAGCCTAAAATTATAAACTAATGTAACAGGTAGATATTTAGGAAACGAGGAGATTTAATTCTTAACACGTAAAAGAGAACTAACACTGTTAATCGAGTAGCTAAATTTGTTCAGTGTGGCTAAGTTCCATACTTCTTTCTTGTTTGTGGTATGTATCTTCCATGCCACTTGAGCAGATCTACTATTGCTGTAACTCTCTTAAGTTCTCGCAATAATGGCCCAATTCTCTCCAATATCTTTCTTGTTGGTATATTAATTTATATATTTCTAACAGTTGCAATGGTTTATCATATATACTTGAAGTTTTTTTCAAAGTATGATAATTTGTCAAGATCACTGGATCTTTAATCTTTTGTTGGGGGCCCTCTTTCTTCTTTGGGTTCCAACGTTCAGTTTAGTACCTTTTTCCGGGACATTTCATTTCCTGTAAGAGTTGATGATGTTTCTGGCATGGTGGTTAGTATTGCAGCTGAAGTTGGTTGCAGATGTTGGACTGTTAGAGTTGATGATGTTTCTGGCATGGTGGTTAGTATTGCAGCTGAAGTTGGTTGCAGATGTTGGATTAGTGGGAGCTCCAATTGCAGGGAAAAGTACATTAGTCAGTGTTATAAGTGCTGATCAGCCAGCCATCGCAAATATCCCTTCACAACTTTGCTCCCAAATCTCGGTGTGGTTTCATTATGATGCTACACTGGTAGTTGCAGATTTGCCTGGAATACTCAAAGGCGCTCACACGGGGTTTTGGACTAGGGCCTGAGTTTCTTCGGCGCACGGACTTTCTCTATTGCAGTTGTTTTGTCTTGAAATTACAAAAACTTTGAGATTAAAGTTCCCACATCCAAGAATGGTCTAAAAAATATAAGTTGGTAAACTGTGAGATTTTTGTTTCTGGTGAAGTCATTCACTATTGCAGTTGGTTTGATCTCAAAATTACAAAAACCTTGATATCAAAAAAGTTCTCATTACAAGAATACTCTGATAAATCGATAAGTCATGTTTTTGGTGAAGTCTCTATATTTGTGTTAGTTTTTTATGCTTGATATTCTCTTTGTAGTCCTTTTTTTCATTGGTTGAAGGGCTTTTCTTTAGGGTCCTTATAGACACATAGTTATGAATCACATATTAAAAAGAACGAAGATATTATTGTGAACTAACTGTAGATTTTAATATGGAGAATTAGGTGCATGTAATGGTTCAGTGGAGCAACTGGAATACGAATATGATGCTGTTCGCCTTGAGCTGGAAATGTAGAGCCCTCAACTTGTGGAAAAGCCTTATATATAGTGGTGTTTAATAAAATGGATCTACCAGAGGCATAAGAAAAATGGCCATCATTCAAAGAAAGGTTACAAGCCCGTGGGATTGAACCTTATTGAAGGTTTGAAATACTTGTCAGTTCCTCTTAGTGATTTATTGAATTATTGTTTGTTATTCCTTGTTCATCAAGAAATTTGGTTCAATTTGGTTCATTTTAGTATTGTCATAACTGAATAGAATTCATCATTTTCCGCTATTCCTTTGCCATTTCTTTTCAGAACTTCAACCGTCGGAGAGCTGTTCAGGTTCCATGTCCAGCACCAAAGACATGGAACCTGGTGACCTTAAAATTATCGTCACCATGACAAGGTAATCGTGCAGGCAGATCATATGATTATACTTTCCATTTTTTGAAGTGAATTGATCTCTGACTCGATCAAAGCAGTCTGCGTTTGGTACTGCCATTGGTAGCATAGTGTGACGTGTAATTTTAACTGATAGAAACATCAGAATAGTACCCACTTGCTCTGTTTATTGTCTTCCCCGTCATGTACTTCATTACATTCTTTTACACTAATAAAATGATACTAGATTTCCCTTTCCTGTCGTAATTTGTAAGTTCAGGTTTGATAATATGCACATTTCTTACATGCCACCAAAGTAGGGAAAATAATATCGAATGTTGTATATATGTCCAGTTAAATTTAGGTGTCGACTTGGTCCAAGTGTGGTTAATTCTGATTAGAACCGAATGATCCGTGTATCAATGGGAATTCTGGAAACCGAACTAGACTAGAACTTATAGGTTCTGGTTCGATCAAGTGTCATATGGGCTGGAAAAGTGGGTTAGGACTTGGACGGACCTAGGGGGGATCCTGGGAGGCAAGTGCCCCCGCCCCCCGCCCCCTAACTTTTGAGAATTTTTTTTTTATATAAAATCGTGTTTGGTATCGATTGAAATCTAAATTTTAATCTAAATCAAACTTAACAATTAATTTTAATCATGGAATCCATAACTGTTTAACTTTTATCAAAATTTACTAAAAATTTGATTTTAATCTCCAACAAACGGGACAAAATCACAATAAATTTGAATTTTGATAACATGATAAATTTTAAAAATTTTCCGACGATCGTACGCTAATCGAATCTACAAATTGATATTGTCATCTCAAAACTTATTTCAAGAACTACATTATGGGCATATCAAATAGTCCAAACAGATATCGAAAATAGTTAAAAATACGTTAAACGTGAGTCTTAAAAAAAGACTTCTAACTCGCATTTTTTTTTAAAAAATTCGATTATTTCATTAACATTTATTATTTTTGCGATACAAATTTCTCAATATAATTTTCATAATTTTCTTAGGAAATTTTCAAAAAAATTCGAAATTTTACATTCGAAAAAATCATATCCCATTTAAATTTTTGGATGTAATTATATAGAATATGACATAAAAAAATTTCGAAATTTTACATCTTAAAAAGTCACATCTCATGTAAATTTTCGGATGCAAAATTACATGGGGTATGATTTTTTTGGACGTAAATTTTCGATTGTAAAATTTCTCCCAATTTCTTTGCAAGTTCAATTGTAACCCCTAACTTTTAAGTTTTGCGTTCGCCCCTGGTCGGGAGCATTACATGTTGCCCAATTTAGGCTTCTCTTTGTATCAATCGCTCAGTGTGTGTGTTATTGCTTGGAGAAGTGATTTTGAGGTGACCGGCGATTATACGGATTCTCTCGTTTTGAAAATTTCATAAACAAGAGCCACAATTAGCATAAGAGGATAACAAAATAATCGCATTTGGAGCACATTGAAAATCTAGACTTTGCACCATAGAAAGGGTCACAATTCCTTTGCTAAATATTAGTCCACCTTGCATAGATATTGCATTCGTTGTATCCAGTGTGAATAGTTACACCGTTCTTGATTGTTCAGTCAAAACCACTTCTTGTTTATCCGATTGAATTGGACCCATAAATGATACATTAGAAAAATCACTTCGATTTTTCAATATTAGTAAGTTGATTGTTTTGCTCGAAAGGTGATAAGATTTTGTAAATAACAAATCGTTATATTGTAAAAATTGAGTATATTCGATCCATTGTCATTTTATCATAGCCCATTAAACAATTGAGTTGTAACTAAAAAAAAAAAAGAGAGGAAGAACTTCAAGTTGGGTGGTGTGGGAGTGGGGAGTGGCAAATCTCTAATATGTACCATACTAGTACTTTGTGCCTCTCCGAAATCTTTGACCTCTTGTAGTATAGATTCACTTTCACTGTTTTAATTTAACCTCGTATCATCATTATCCCGTGATCCGCGATTCACGACACCGTTACAACCCCACCAATGCACATAGTACTACTATTTGAAATTTTGAAGTACAATCCCTCCATAGCTCCATTGATGAGGTGGCAACCAAAGGGAATGCAAATGATCGACACGAGTATGCACAAAAAATTTCGAAATTTTATATCCAAAAAAGTTATTTCCCATGTAAATTTCGGATGTAAAATTACATGGGGTATGATTTTTTTAGACGTAAATTTTTTATTGTAAAATTTTTTCCAACTTCTTTACAAGTTCGATTATGCCCCCTAATTTTTAAGTTCTGCGTCCGCCCCTGGTTGGGAGCATTACATGTTGCCCAATTTAGGCTTCTCTTTGTATCAATCGCTCAGTGTGTGTGTTATTGCTTGGAGAAGTGATTTTGAGGTGACCGGCAATTATACGGATTCTCTCGTTTTGAAAATTTCATAAACAAGAGCCACAATTAGCATAAGAGGATAACAAAATAATCGCATTTGGAGCACATTGAAAATCTAGACTTTGCACCATAGAATGGGTCACAATTCCTTTGCTAAATATTAGTCCACCTCGCATAGATATTGCTTTCGTTGTATCCACTGTGAATAGTCACACCGTTCTTGATTGTTCAGTCAAAACCACTTCTTGTTTATCCGATTGAATCGGACCCAGAAACGATACATTAGAAGAATCAGTTGGATTTTTCAATATTAATAAGTTGATTGTTTCGCTCGAAAGGTGATAAGATTTTGTCAATAACAAATCGTTATATTGTAAAAATTGAGTATGTTCGATCCGTAGTCATTTTATCATATCCCATTAATGATTAAACAATTGAGTTGTAACTAAAAGAAAAAAGGAAGGAGAACTTCAAGTTGGGTGGTGTGGGAGTGGGGAGTGGCAAATCTCTAATATGTACCATACTAGTACTTTGTGCCTTTCCCAAATCTTTGACCTCTTCAAGTATAGATTCACTTTCACTGTTTTAATTTAACCTCGTATCATCATTTTCCCGTGATCCGCGATTCACGACACCGTTACAACCCCCAACAATGCACATAGTACTACTATTTGAAATTTTGAAGTACAATCACTCCATAGCTCCATTGATGAGGTGGCAACCAAAGGGATGCAAATGATCGACACGAGTATGCTACAGTTTACACGTGTCACGTCAAGCATGCCTGTCACTGTTACTGAATGACATGGCAATCAATGGTTGGTTGGTCACATAATCCGGGAACGTGTTTCCTCGGATTATATGTGTGGCAAAGTGCATGAAATCTTTTTAGATATTTTGTTTTATGTAATTTGGGATGTTGATATTTTCGTTTGTGAAATTATTTACAAAGTTCATTTCGTAAGTTAAATTGAACACAATTAAATTAATGTTAATCAATGTTACAAGAATTGAATCAGATTGGTTGTTGACACATGCGGGAGCGAGAAATTACCAGAACGAATAACGCAATCAAATATTCGTTAATTATTCGTATTGAATATTTGACAATCAAGACTTCTTGTTTCGCATATGAATGCAGAGAATTGGTTCTTGATCAACGAGATTGTTGATCCGAAAATACCGACATTGGACCGAAATGAATTGAAAACTCCAAATTCTACATTTTTTTATTCAACAGTAGCTGACAAACGACAATGCTATAACAAGAATTTAAATAGTAAAACCTAAGAAGTAAACCCTAATTTTCTAAAAAACCCCAATTGAACGTAACTAAATTAATATTTCTTTGTCACTTGTCTAGACCCATTTACGAACTTGAGGTGAGCTTACTGGGAACTCTTTAGGAATAAGGATTCTTGTTGGTCAAAGACATGAAAAATAAAATAAAATCTTAGTCCTGTCAAAGTCCAAGTCCTTAGTCTTAGAATGTAATAATCTTTTTCCCTAAATTCAGGATTGCCTTAAAATATTTATTATTTAGACAAAAGTTTGTGCATATTTTTGGGGAGAGTGCAAAATTCTAATCTGACCAAAACCAATTTCTCTTGTCAGTGTGTAAGGGTGGCCAAAAAAAAGGGGCTTCCACTCCATCTCACACTTTGTTCAGTGTTTGGCACAATTAGGTAGAATTTTTGAGTTCAAAAATTTTAATTGTTAGAGAGGAAATAGATTGATTTATATAAAAGGTATTTTAATACTTCTCCACATATAGTCTAATAATCATTGAAGTATGATACATGAACAATTTTAAATTTTCTTAAATACGCAATGACAACGATTAAATTCAAGATCTCTGTCTACTTTAATATGAAGCTGATCTCATTTAGAAGTTTAGTCCCTCTCTAATGAGGATTAAAATCAGTTTTTTAATCCAATTTAAACAATACAATTCTCCAAAGAAATCCCACCTTATAATAAATAATAAATTATTAGCAAAGAAGATTACACAATTCAATAAGTGGAATCACATCTTTTAACATGAAGCATTGACTAACTTTTTGCATCCCTCAAATGCTAAAACTTATTAATTAGCAGACCTTCCATAAATGAAAAAATAACTTAAATTATTCAGCCCAAAATAATTATAAAAGTAATTTTTCAATGGAAAATTCTTTGATTTATTTAGACTACCCATAATTGATTTTGAAATTAAAATTTAAATAGTTAAAAAAAAGATATTCCTTTTTCTTTTTTCTTTTTTGGACAACATATTTTTTGTTCTTGAATAAGTGGAATAAGATAAAATGAATGGCATTCAATGCATCTATAGTTCAATCCTTTAAAAGTGTAGTGGAGGAGTCAATGGTCATAGATTTTGTCCATGCCAAACTCATTAAACTATAATTTATGATTAAGTTAAAAAGTAAAAAATTATGGTTGCTAAATATTATTTAATTATTTTAGATCTTCACTACACACAAAATGTAATTGGAATTAATTGAGGTGCGCGTAAACTGACCCGAACATCCACGGTTATGAAAAAAAAATAAAAAAATACACACAAAATGTAATGAAACGGTGGGCAAAAAAAGATTTATGTAGTCGACTTCAAATATAATGAGATAATACTTAATTTAAATCAAAGCAAAGAGTTCCACATCATGTTGAACCCAAGGGGTGCCTACATGCACTCATTTTACATTTGAAATCGAAATTGCTATTTAATCAAAATGAATACATTTCTCTTTCTTAAAAAGAGGTAATCAGATATCTTCATCCCATTCTCGATTGATGATCGAATTTCATCTCAATTTCTTAACGTGAAATTTCTAGCATAGAATTCATCTCGACTTTTTTGGATAGAACATTAGCAATAAAATATAAATCCTGTAATGTCATCGTAATAATCTCTCTTTCAGTCTTTTTTTTCTTTCTCCCAAATTATTTTTCAATAAGTCATTATGGAATTTTGAAAAGCTAAAGACCAAAATGAGTTGACCTGATTGATCATTATTGATAAGTTATGCTATTTCCAATGCCATTTAGGCATGTGAAGTTTTAATTAACAACAAAAAAGCTAAAAAAAGCACCCTATTAGAAGTGCTTAATTAATTAGATTATTGCCCCACTAATTATTTTTTGTTTGGGCAGTTTTATTATACTTTTGACTATAGCCCTTTTTACTTACTTTTAAAGACAAGGCGCTGCTTGATGACTCATGACTAACTTTTTCATTAATAGTTTTTTTTTTTAATATAATTTCACAATTATAATTTTTTTTATCGCGTTGGTTTGAATAGATCTTCAACAACTATAACACGAAGTGCTAATCGTGATTTATTCTTCACTTCTAACGTGTTCTATTAGGATCACACTCTTGTTAACAGAAGCGGCAAATGCATTAGTGCAGTAGAGCATTTAGTTCATATTTAGTCCCAATTCTCTAAAGCTCGTTTTTCTTCAAATTTATTTTCAATCACATATTTTACGAAATTCATAAATTTTTATCAAATTTTCAACCACGCATTTCATCAAATATTATCAAAATTTATTAAAAATCTGATTTTTGACAAAAAAAACAAGGGCTTAATTTTTATTTCTCTTTACAAATACGTTCTATTACAAAGATATAAGGTAAGATTGGATGTTAAAATGGACTAAGGCTTCATCTACTTATTATTATTGTTGTTGTTGTTGTTTCTCTCCATTCATCTTATTTCACTCATTAATTTCTGACGGTTGCTTATCATATCTAGGTACTTGTGATCTTGTAGGTTAGGATTTTAAGAAAAAAGTGGAATCGCTTTTCTTTGATACTATTTTATTGTTGCGACTTCTGCTCATTCATACTAAACTTTTATAACACTCTTACTAGCCCAATGGACAAATCTTATTTTTATGAGTTCTCGTCTTTCTCTCACCAACCCTCGGTCTTTAATTACCGATATTAATATCTTCATTTTACTAAATTATATTTCTCTCAATTTTAGCCCATAGAATGTTTGGAAAAAGATTATATTTACCCAACTTGAAAATAAAACTAAGCTTAAAATTTTTTACTTACAAGTAAGTTTATTTAAGTAAAAAAGTAATTTAAAATAATTTTTTTTTATAGACCAGTTGCTGTTTGTTAATACTCATTTGAAATAATGAAAATCTTTAACTGCTCCCTTTGAAAATCATAAAGAAGACAAGAAAATAAAATAAATGTTCAACAATATATTTTGCATGGAATGCGGATTATACACGTGACATTTCAGACTTGTTACAAGAATAATACAAAGATTAATCATTAACTTATTCAAATATATGAATTTCTCAGGAAAAATACAGACAAAAATATATGTCTGCCATTTTCTCTCTCTTATTTTTCACTGCTAATATTGTTAATATTTCTTAATCAATCCCGACATTCCTTTTGAACCCAATTTTAAGGTCATTATGTGTGCAATTTCATATTAATAACATGCTAATGTGTCTAATGGTGATTATGCTATTGCTTAAGCGCTTAAATTTTAAGAATGTGTTTGGTACATTTAACTGAACTACACGAACAAGTATCTTGCATGTTTCTCTTTTATTTAATCCTGTATAATACAGCATATCAATTATCATGTTTGTAATGTCTTAAAGTTGAAATCATGATTAATTGTTTTGATAGTTTGGACTAAGTAGCCCTCGACGATATTAAAGAAAAGATAAACTAAAATTTGTCCATTACTACTATGTGCCCTTTTTATGAGTGTACAAGACAGAACAAACCTTCCCATCTAATCCATGGTACCGACATGCAATGTCTCAAAATTGAAACCATAATGTGTGGTAGCGTCGACTTGTGATGTTCAACACTCGTCTAAGTCATAACACTTGTGATATAAAAATTATTGAATCAATTTAATATAAAAATTTATGATTAATCCAACATATTATGTTGCTAACACCTAAACTGACATTAAATATTACGAGAACAAGTAATAGATGACATTATTCAAATTACAAAATCCACACTCCAAAAGAAAGATTTTCTAAAAGAGATAAAAAGAAGAAGAGGGGGGGCGGGTCTTGAATGAATGACGTCTACAATGTCCTTCTCCCTCTCTCCATCACCACATTTCCTTCTTTAAAAGAAACCCTCCACACTCTTCATTCAAACTCAGTACTTCACACAACTTCCCTCATTCTCCTAAATCCTCATCTTTCTCAACAAAATTCTTACAAGAAATCACAATGTCTATCTCAAAATCCTCAGACAACCCCTTCAATCTCTTTGAACCCTTTCTCACAGAAACAGGTTTTGCATTATTACAACGTAATACATCTATCGCTTTACCAACTGAAAGAAGAGGCAGAAAAAAACAAACAGAACCAGGAAGATTTCTTGGTGTAAGAAGGAGACCTTGGGGCAGATATGCTGCTGAAATAAGGGACCCTGCAACCAAAGAAAGACACTGGCTTGGGACTTTCGATACTGCCCAAGAAGCTGCTCTTGCATATGATAGGGCTGCCCTAAACATTAAGGGCACTCAAGCAAGAACCAATTTTATATATTCTGATAATTATAGTAATACACCTTTTCAATCTTTTTTGAGTACCCCTTTTGATCTCCAAGGTTTCTTGCAGCAGCCGACAAATCAAAACAGTGCGTCCTCTTTGACGTCGACTTTGCAGGTACCGATTCAACGTACTGATCAAGACGAGGATGATCATCATAATCAAAACAGTACGTTTCAGACTGACATTCCACGAAAAGATAATCAGCACACAGTGAAAACTGATTATGATGACAGTTTCTTTATTTCTACTGACAGTTCAAACTCCGGCTATTTGGATTGCATTGTTCCTAAAAACTGTTTGAAGCCTCCTACTGCTACTACTGCCAGCATGAACTCAGACAAAACCAATGAAAATAATTCTTCACATAATCAGAAATTCTACCCAGATTTGAGTTTCTTGCAGAATCTGCCGTGTTATGATAGTAATGAATTTCTTGTTGATTCGACGAGTGTTTCAACAATGATGTCGAACCCGGAAAGTTTCTGGAATGATGATCAGCAGTCATGGGGACTGAGTTCTTGTGAACTTTCAGCCATGATAAACAGTTCTTCAAATGGATGCATGGGAACTTTGGATTCAGTGTGTGATTATCCAAGTTTTGAGATGATGGATCCAACAAGTTCAGCAGAAAGTTGCACATCTTTATTTCCTTATTTTGGGGATACAGTAGACTTGGGGTACTCTCCTTTTTGAATGCTGAAATTGAAGATTAATTTGAAGCAACTCTTGAATTTAGAAATCTATTTACATCTCTCTCTCTCTCACCGGTTGATTATTCGATGTTAGTCCGATTCCGACCTTCACTTAGTTTCACTCAAGATTCTGGTCATGGATAGTTAACCTAAGTTCGAGTCCATAAGCAGAGAGGAGAGTATTTTGGTTATTCCTGTAATGCGTTTGGTTCAAAGTGTCAAAAATGTCATTGTAATTTTGAACTTAGTGGAAATCAATTACTACATTAATACTCTCTTGGAGTTTTTTCTAATTATGGTTCAATCACATACAACTTTATTTAGTACTCGAAGAGCCAATGACATATTTTTTAATCTACTTGGTTGGATATGACTAAAAAGAAAAATCGATAAACATGATGTTGTTCAATCGAGCGTACTAAATAGCAACTATACACACGTGCGCACATAACAATATACTTGCAATAGCTTTGGTAAAACGGTGCTATAAACAAGATTTTAGCCCTTTTAGCTCCAATATCATATACCAAACAAATGTGTATATACACTTGAAGACATGACAGAAATGGCAATCAAACCTGCTCATGTTTAACTCATGAATATCAAGCATGCATTGTTGCTTGCAGCATTAATGTATTTGATATGAAATGAACGAAGACATTAAAAAGCTATGCATCTTTTCATTCAAGTAACACTAAAGGCACGATTGCACCAAAATTTGCCAGTATATTGTTCAGTAGTGCCTAATTTAACATCATATCACAAAATGATTTTCAGCATTGTCCCCTTCCACGTAAAATGTATAATTTGTAAAGCACAATTCCCAGCATTGTACCTATGAAGTCGATAATTTTAATTTTGGAACTTCATGAAAAAAAAAAAAAAAAAAAACATTATCATTATAAGCATCCCCAAATCTGAAGCAACTGGAAAAATATGAACACTACTCAATAAATTCAAGATTTTTTAAGAGTTCGATGTTGATAATTTATTGAAACAGCATTCAAGCAATTCATATCCCACAACATAACTGTATATTTTACATTCCAGGCGGTATTAAATCACCTTTGCGATTCTCCAAATTTATTATTTGTTCCACAACAAAGCCCCGGACAAAAAAGGGGAACAAGAACACCTTGAGACTCATTACCTAGTCGAGGTTGTTCCCATTCTGAGAATGACAACATAAATAGACACAAGCAGCTCCAAAATTTGGGCAGTGGTGCAAATTATTTTTTAAATAAGAGGTTTTGTATTTTTTATTCAAAAACTAGCTAGCTGGACAAGTAAGGTGTTCTTGGATCTTTGAGGGGGTATTAATCGCTTATTGAAAATGAAAATGGCGGGCAAAGGATACATTATCAACACAGGTGGGCATAGGTAAAGGGCTTGCACCAGAAATGGAGTGTTGACTGTTGGGTTCATGAAAATTGATATACAAGGATCCTGAAATGGCTTCTTGTGTTCAGTTTGATGTACGAACCTCAGCTCCAATACCCTGTTCCGACTGCTGAACGCTAGAATGAGAAACGGGGCCACTTTGTGAATATATTGAACCAACTGAAGCACCTGTACTGCTTATAGACGACATTTGGGGTGATGGAGAGTCTCCTCTGTATCCAGCAATACCCTCGGGTCTCAAGTCTGACGATGAGGATGATGGAGCCAAAGTTGCATTAGTAGATCCCACGGGATATGGAGCAACAGGCATATCAGTAAGAGAAGATGCAGATGGACTGCTGCTCAGCGTCTTCATGGGGTGATCGAATCTGCACAAGGGTCCAAACTGGCATACTGCATTCTGTGAATAGCTAATGCAAACTGGTGCACCCTGAAAAAGTAATTAAAAGACACTGTCATAACATAACAAAAAATGCTATCATATGATTCTCATATTTATACAAAATAGTAATCATATAAATACTACGCACTGAAAAGAAATAGAGTGAAAATAAAAATAGGGAAATGCAAATTGAAATTCATGCAGTTACCTCCACGTCATTTGGAAATAACCCACTTTTTGTAGTTTTCAGAACAATACTGATTAGCCAACCCAACGCCTAACCCTCCCATTCTCCCCTTTAACTTAACCTAATTATGTCTACATTGGCCACTTTGAATGACTGATGCCTTCTTACAATGCCATTGTGCCATCTTCATATTAAAAATAAAGCCCTTGTTCGTGTTTCCTGAAAAATTACTAATAATTTCATTTTTTTATCAAGTCAAAGTCAAACATTAATTTCTACCATACATTCCTAACTACAGCACATTTATTATCCACACATTTTATAGGATCCACAACTATTCCTCCTAAAACATTACTCATAGTTTTACGTGAACAGAGCTATACTATCATTTTACATAAACAAAATTAAAACCATTAGGCAATGTTAATAAAGAAATTAGGTAAAGGGCTAGGGTTTTGGAAACAACAAAGATTCCCAGACAATTTTCAAACCATAACGGAATAATAAAAAGGAATTCAAATCAAGTGATGACATTACTATTTGCCACAACAAAATATAAGTACATAGGGACAATGAAAAGCCAAGGCATATTAGTTCCAGGTAAATGTAATTAACATAAAGATAAGCTAGGTTAAATAATTGAGAATTGTCCATCAATTATTGCCAACAAATACTTTTAACGTATCTATGGCCAAAGACACATTATATGGCCATTCGGTTAAATGGTAGTGAACTGAACTGCATTGCAGAAGGATTGATCTAACCAACCTTAATATTTTTTGGAATAGAGATTAGTTTCTTTTTATTGTTGTATGCCTAGGTTCAAGAAACAAATCATACGCACTTGGGTGTAGATTCAAGCTAATAGTATTTTGATAATCTGAAATTTTTTAACCGACGGCATTATAAGAATATAGGGAGTAAATCAATCTAATTTAATCAGCACACTCTGATGTATTCATGCACACATCATGAAATACAAAGGAAGAAATGCTATGCTCCAATTTCAAAGAGCAGGATAAGATATATTAAAAAAAAATGTAAACTAACTAGAGTTAAAAGGCAGTGTTCCCAGTATGAGATAGATATGAGAAGAAAGAATGCCGTCCCTCTGGCAGAATCTAATGAACTTCATTGCTAAGGTATCATCCAAGGCTTAAATTCTGTTTTTCAATCTCAAGGAGATGAACAGAATCTGATTCCATGGTACCGACACAACTCCAACCCCACCCCCACCTCACAAAAGAAAAGAAAAGAAAAGATAGTAATCAGAAAGATACGAAAAAGAAAGAAAAGAGAAGATCCCACAAAATTATATGCCATCAAAATCTCTTGACTAAATTTTAACTGAGAAGGTCTACTATTAACCAAGTAAAGAAATGTGTACTGTTAATTATTTCTGAAAATAATTCTATAAGGCAAATCCAAAAGAGCAATCTAATTTCATCCAATTATCCATGATATGCAGTAATTACAGCTTGAAAGTAATTCAAATGTAACCTGTGGCAAAAATTCTCAAATCCACTCATTAACTAGCACTAGTTCATCTGTCGTAAACAGTTTCTTCAGGCACAGAATCTCATCTGTCATGAAAAGAACAGAGAATGTTACGCTTACCGGGTGTAAGGGAAGACCCAGGGGACTAAGCACGTAATTTGTAGTTGGTGCATTCCACTCTGGTGGATGATGATATTTACATGTAGGTCCATATTTACACTCTCCAGTTCTCAAATAATACTGACATTCTGGTTGGCCAGGTCTTTCTGGAAATGCATGTTCCTGTTGACTGCTGCCCGAATGGCCAGCAGAAGTAATGGATAGATATGGCCCTGTTACTCCTGTGTAGGCAGTTACTGAAGGAGATAGCTGGGTAATCCCATAAACTGGGCCCATTCCAACAGTGGGTTGAGGGTTCGAGGAGGCTGATGCCTGTACCATGCAATTTCACAACTTATCAGGGGAAGGGCATTCAAAGAAAACTCCACATTAAATAAACAACTTCAGCTACACCTACTGTGTAGGGAGTCCAACCAGGACCAGGAACAACTCCAGGGGGAAGAAGCACGGGACCATAAGTCCCAGGAACATATGAAGGTGGAAACACAGCCGGTCTTGGAACTGGCCAGTTGCCAGGAACTACCCCATATTGTTGGGAAGGTTGAACAGAAGAAGTTGGATAGACCGCAGGTGTAGGTGCTGCTGCCGGTGTAGGAAATGCTCCGAGCCCAGGAGCTGGTACTGGCATTTGTAAACCAGGTGGCTGCGGGTGATTAAACTTACAGGTGGTGCCGAACTTGCAGTGCCCATATTTAGCATAATAAGAACAATCCTTATCACCCTGCAACAAGGAATCTATGAAACAGCTGCATAGTATAAAAGCATGATACAATCGAAAACATAAACAGTACAAAAGAACAAGAAAATAAATATCAAAGAGGCAGACCGGTCGCAATGGATATCCATAATAATTCAGGGTCGCCGAGCCTGAAGATCCACCTCCCTGTTTTGGATGGTTATATTTGCAGGAAGCACCAAATTTACACATTCCTGTCCGCATATAGTACTACAAGTTCAGCACCAAGAGAACAGTTAGTATAAAAAGGCATAAATGATACAAAGATACTGAAATTCTCAGTAAGACAGACAAATTAACACACATTAGTAGGACTGTAGGAGTTACAACATGAAGGAACAGATAAATATAGTGCATTAGGAAGATGTACAACTTTTTAGTTCCAACCGTTTGACATCTATTCAAAGTTCATGCAGAACACAGTAGCTTTTCCTCAGAATAAATAGCACACTTCTAACGTTTTTAAGATTCAGATAAGCTTTTCATTTTATTTTCAATTCCTGTTTCTTAATAGAGGTATGAAGAATTTGAGAGCTCACTCTAGAATATAACATGAAAAAAAAATAAAAAAAGATGAGTTATACGAGTCAAAATCTATCAAGCACCTACGCTGCCTCTATCGAAAGTTATAGAAAACAAAAGTTCAAACTTTTGAATATAAAAGATAGCTAAGCACAATCATTGAGGAGACAGATCCATATTATACAAAAATTATAATAATTCCTATTTATATAATCTGCATAACAATGAAGTAAAATACAAAGAAAGAAGGAAGAAATATTCAAAAAACGACGTCAGGTTTCTAAAATAAGCATGAATTACCCTACGATAACCCTAAACATAGTCAATCTGAAAGATATGAGCATATGAACTTGCTTTTATATAATGTTTATCTAAAATAAAGAAAAGACGATTCCTGATCAACATAAAACAAACTGACTCTTTAATAAGAGACACAAGTTGACAAATCCTAAATGCATTCTTAATGATAAAGCACTATACAAACTTTTGAAGTTCTGTGGTTAATCCGCTTGAAAAAAAAAAAAAGGTCGCAATTAATTCATAAAGAATAGGTCCATTAAAGTCTGTAAGCATACAGTAATTCCCTAAGGACACTAAAAAAAAAATGAAAGCAATTTAAGATGCTCTAATCTATGGATCCAAAGGATAGGTAAAGATGAAATCGTCATCACAGGTAGTGTCTTCTATCCAGGATGACAACATACAGACAATCATAACACAAAAAGCAGGAAACAGCACGTCTTTTAAGACCCAGAAGTTGTAGAATATTGGGAAGTCAGAAACTAACTGTCGGTTTTCAAATAGAGTAGCAGAATACACATTATGAAAAGGACGAATCGAAAAACATAACTAGCATGGAGATGTTACCAATGCAAGAGGCTGCAAATCCTAAACAATCCTTACCCATTTCAATATACTGATCATCCAAGAGAGAAGGAGAATGGTTTATCAACTATATTGAAGCTGATTGTTTCTGGATTTAGAAATTAGACATGAATGTTTCTGGATTTAGAAATTAGACATGAAATTTTTTTACGGTGGAATCTAGCAGATGTATTTCTAACTTCTAACATCAATCGTGGAAAAGATGTTGCATATTTTTTGGTTATATACAGTTAACAGATTCATATGGAGGCATTTAATAAATAGAAGAATCAACATCAAACAAGGTATTATCATAAATATCAAACTAGGAATCTAGAGGGGACAAAAAGACAATTCAGACAGTATGCAGACGAATTATTTGAATCCTTGGATCAACAAAAGAAGCTCAATCTACAAAACAGTAAACAGATGAACAGCTTGAGTAGAATAATCTAATAAATGTACTTTCTCCAATATTAAACAATGAACAGATGGATTAATCATAACATACAAAAATCTAGCCAATTAAAATTCCATAATATCAACTGATTAATAAAATCTTCAACTTCAGAAAGTATAACGGACATTTATATTTTTTGTTTATATTCTCATCATCGATTTATTCAATATCTCTAAGAGCTTTGAATGCAAAATGGATACCTGGCAGAGAGTATCTTTTTTACGAAACAAACACGTACACATATTTTTGTCTACGACAAAATTGCATGCAAATGGATTGATACCTGGCACCGAGTATCTTTTTTACGCAACAAACACATACACGTATAGCTCTGTTTACAAAATTAATTTCATGCAAACGCATACCTGGCAGACTGGTTGACCAACACGTTCAGGGTAATCACCACCGCTGGCCATCAGTGCTCCCATCACCTGTATCGAAACACAATCAAATTCCATCAATCCATGTCACTACATCAAAACCATCACAATGCCATTTTTTTTCAATTTACTGATTTAGTATATCTTATCTTGCGAAAACCACTATGAACTCAAATAAAATTCAAAAAGATTAATTTTTACAGAAATTAAAATCAAATCTACACAAAACCCCACTAAAAATGGAATGATTCACAGTAATTAGCACAATCCAACTCTAGCAGAGCACGATCACGCCAATCCTGCCACAAAAAGTCAAAATCGAACCCTAAAGATCAAATTTTGACAAATGAAAATTGAGAATTTTTACCCCACTCCGGTCACGGGGATGATTGAAACGACAGCGAGCACCGTACCCACAGAATCCAGTCTTCAAGTAATAACCACAATCGGGCTCTCCCGGCCTATCCGGGTACGACTCCGGCCCACCCCCAAGACCCAACTGCCACATAGGCTCTGCATTCACAAAATCAACCCTCAAATCAATTAAATTTCACTCTGCATTACAAAATCCAATTTTATTCAGGCGAAATTCAACCTACACTGACCTTCAAGCCCGGTTTCACCACCGGGAGCGGCCCATTCCACAATCGGATCCACTGGTGCCCCCTCCATTGCCTCTGTCCCGCTGTACCTCTCAATTCTTTTACAACTATACACAGTATAATACAATACACCTATATATAGATATCAGTCTTTACAAGCCATCAATGGCTTACAGAAGTGAGATTCTGCGAGTAAATTTCATAGATGTGGGGAGTGGGGTGGGGTGAGGGAGAGTAATTCAGCAGAGGGAACTACAAACAAACCCCAGTATTTGTATATATTTTCTAACGAAAAATGATTACAATTTACCCTTTTAAACAGAGAAGTCTCAACCAACTATAATAAAAAACGTATAGCGACTTTTAATAGAGGAAATAAACGTGTTTCCCTTCCTTTGTTTTGCCTGTATGTATATTTCACACTCATCTCACCGTGTGCTGCCTTACCGTGTGTGATATTTACCACATTTGATCTTGATCCTCGTGGAGCGAAAGTGAGACTAGACTGGATCTGCACGGTCCTCCTAATAATGCATTTATCATCCAATATTATTATGCAAAACGTCGTTACGTTTTATTTTTTGGTATTTTCATTCTTATTTCCATTTTTCATTGTACAAAAGGTCTTTTTTATCAATTTTTTCAATTAAAAACTGTGAAATGACGAATATAATTTTTTATTTAAATTAACGAAAAAGAAGAAAAAACTAATTACAGTTATAGTCCTAATTTTTTTATTAAAAAAAAGTGCAAATAAGTTCTAAATAAATTATTAAAATGATAATTAGCACATAATGTCCATACATTTCATTATTATAGTGAAAAAAATCTATATCTTTATTTATTTTTGATATTTTCACCATTTATTATATTTTTGGTTGCGCAAATCATCATTTCTATCCATTTTTGTCTAATTTTTCAAAAAAAGACTGTAAAATGATGAATATATCCTCATATTTAAATAAAAAAAATAAAAGAACTAATTGCAATCATATTCCCATTTTTTTAATAAAAAGTGCAAACAAGTTCGAAATATATTATTAAAAAATTAAAAATTAATTTTGTTTTAAAAAAGTGAAAATGAGTTCTAAATAAATTATTAAAAAATTAAAAATTATTATTTTTTAAATAAAAAAGTACAAACGAGTCCCAAATAAATTATTAAAAAATTAAAAATCAATTTTTTTTAAAACAAAATGCAAATGAGTCCCTAATACATTATTAAAAAACTAGAAATGAAAAAAATTCTTTTTTTATTTAAATATAAGTGTATATTCATCATTTCAAAACTATTTATTGAGAAATTGGATGAAATGGATAGAAATGAAATGTATAAGTAAGGGTGAAAATATCAAAAAATGAAAGGTATAAATTTTCTTCACAATAATAGTAAAATGTATGAACATTATATGCTAATTACCATTTTAATAATTTATTTGGAAATTATTTGTGCATTTTAAAAAAATTGGGACTGTAGTTGTAATTAGTTTTTTCTTTTTTTTTTTATTTAAATAAAAGAGTATATTCATCATTTTACAATTTTTAATTGAGAACATGAATGAAATGACCTTTTGCGCAATAAAATGTGAAAATAAGGGTGAAATGTTAAAAAAAAATGAAAGATAATGACATTTTACATAATAATAATGAAATATGAGGACGTTATATGCTAATTACTCTTTTACTTTTTTATTAATGTTTTGTGATTTTCTTTTTGTTTCTAAAGTGGGTAAAAATGATATAGGTGTTTTTACCTGTTTCGACTATGAGCCAACTAGAGTCGGCAATGGGCGCAAGTTGCTTGTCGACTAACCAGCTCGGCGCATGCGGATCGCTCTTGCCTCTAAAGTGATTGTTGTCGGGTCAAAAAATTTTCGTATGAGCCACTTGTCGACTCACCAGTCCAATAATAAGTGGCCAATTTCGCGTACAAACGAGTCAATTCGTTGAGCAGCTCATCTTAACAATTGCTAGCCACTAATTTGATGGCACCAGTCTTACGTACCATCAATTCAAATTGAGGCAATCGTTGACTGCCTGAATCAGAAAATTAAGTTATGATTTTTATCATGATGATTTCGTCTATGAATTGGGATTTGTCAAACTATTTCTTCACACTTCCCTACTGTATTCCAAAATTTTGTATACTACTCTCTAGAGTATAATTTTACAGTTCTTCTTCACTTGTTCTTTATTACTTACGCTTCTCAATTCTTTCTGATAAACATTGCTTTTTTCGTATATTTTTTTACCATATTTTGAATAGTAATGTTATGAGCACAATGTCACTTTTTAGGTGTCATAACTCGATAGAACACTTTAAATGGAGTTCAAATTCCTACTTCAAAGTGCTCCACAATGGTCACCAGTTCGAATCCCCTCAGGATCACTGAGGTGAGTATCCGGACGTAAACTCAGGATCCCGTGGGATTAGTCGAGTTGCGCATAAGTTGGCCGGACATCCACGATTATAGAAAAAAAAATTCCTACTTCAAAGTGTTGTATCAATTAGTGACTTAGGACTAGTGTTCAATACTAATTTTGCAACATTCTATTATTCTAATTCGAATGTATTAAAATAGATTTGTTAACAATGATGAGGGTTTTATCATATTTCTCAGTATTTCAAATATTTTCATCGATGATTGTATTGGTCTAATTTTCACAAAAAAATAAAAAAATAAAATCAAATCGAGCTTTTGAAAAGAAAAAAAAAAAAGTTTAATTGGCAAGGCAACTTATCCCCTAATAGGCGAGCCGGTCAGACAAATCGATGGATGTCCTGTGCCGGCTCGACTCGACACACCGCCATACATTAGTAATTCAATAGATCTATAAGACAACATTGAACTTTCTAAGACCTATTTACTACATAAGTTAACATGCAACTAAATCCACATGAAAAATGCTCAAGGCTGTGGGTGTTGCAATAAGAAATTATTATTCTGTGGGACTATATTGCCTTGAGTGCTTCTTTGTGTGAGACGAGATTCATAGTAAAACTATATCATCTTCAACCTTTTTGGATAATATTCATGACTTTTACTTATTGAAACAAAACTCGCTGAAGATAGAAAGTTTATAAACTGCAAGGATATTAGATACAATATTTTGAAAAAATAAGGGATATCTTCATAATTATTAATTAATTGATTACTCTGAATTAATATATTTTTCGTTGTACTATGGACATTAATTTATCGAGATTGTATGCTATCTTTCTTTCTTAATCGTATTCAGTCATATCAAATTTAATACACCAACATAAATCATTTTTGTTTACTTATTCCAGTCTACGTGGCAACACAATGTGACGGCTAAAATTTAGAATTGTCATGCGACATAAAGAGTAATGCGATATTCGAGTTTCCATTTCCAACTCTCTCAGAACATATTTCAACAAAATGTACCCATAAATGTTGACGAAAGGCAGCACTTTTGCTTCAATGAGTATATTGGGGCTGCAGCAACATCATCTTCTTCTTCAACGAAAACTGCACTCAAAGCTATTCCTTCAAAGAGATGTGGATTTATTCTAACGTCAATAAAAAAAAAGGCCAAGATTTGTTGAACCCTTCATTTGGTTAATTTATTTGTTTCGATTTTGACCTCAATTTCTAACTTCGGATACAACAAAAGGTGATATTGGTCATGTTTTTGACTTGCTAATTACTGAATGCATTGCCTAGGGTAAATTAGCCCCCGGCTACCTAGGGTCTTGTTTGGCCAGACACATTGTGGGTCGTGCTGCAAGTTGGACCGTCTGGACTAGGTCGGCCTCTTAGTGCTAAATTTGTGTGTACGTTAAACGTTACGTTCAAAATTGACTAGTAAAAGAACAGTAATTATCCAAATACTTGTATTATAGATTTACGAGTCAAATCTTAGCTACACAAGACTCAATTAGTACTGTAAGAAAACAGAATACATGACGTGCTAGGGTTCGTTGCTGTGTGGTAAAGATCGGCAGTCATTGATGGCTATCAACTAGGTTGATTTGCAACAAGAATCATATCCATGTCTAATTGCCACTGCTCCAATGAACAAGATTGATCTCTCCATTCCCAGCATCTCTCTTCATAGTCTAATTGAATCCAATTGCTGAATTTTGTCACCATACCATACCCTAATCACTCCTTCAGCTCTACCCAAATCCCTCTGATTTTCCAAGCTTTTGGCTTTGATTCTTGGTCAAAATTTTTGAAGCTGAAGATCGAGATTTTGTCCAACTCCATGATATCGGACATGATTGGGAAAGAGGCTTGGACATTCTTCGTTTTCTCTTGCTATGGCGATCTTTTGCTGGTGTTTTCTTAACAAGTGTACATTTAAGACTGTCTCACCAACATATTTCTCACTTGTTAGGTCGCAATGAGAGGAAATGAAAATAGGAGAAGGGACCGAGACATAGTTGAGAGATGCAATTCGATGAGACCGTAACTTAACTACAAATAAAAATTTAGAACTATTTTCGGTATATTGCAAAACTAGTTTATTTTGAAATCGCTCTATAATATACTCCCAATATTATTTTTATCTTTTTTTATATATATTACCAGCCATTCAGCATTTCATGGTAATGATTTTATCGACTGGAAATTCTCTGAATCGATACATTTATACACAGATTGATCAAGTTTAAGATTTGATTTTAGGGCCAAAACAAGGCCACTGTTAACAGCTCCAAGACTTTCTTTTCACAAAAATGGCAGCTATATTAGCCACACAGTTCAGGGTGATAACAGCCAGAGGGGAAACCAGAAAATCCAGGAAAACCCCAAATATTACAATTTACATGCCTCATTCTTCAGCATATTGACCTAAGAAACCAGGCCATTCAAGGCCAATCCAATTGTATTTACAAAAGAATCGAGATCAGATAGCATAAAATTTGAATTTCATCAGGCCTTGGATTAGTATTTTGGTGCCACGATGAAATATGCAGTTGTCAGCTTTCTCAAAGCCCCAAGAGAAACCTAAAAATATCGCTCAGCGAAACAATGCCTTCTACGCGCTTGCTTCCAGCCTCCACGATAATGAGCCGTCTAACACCTGAAAAACAAATAGGGTTGAAATGCCATTAGTTTTTGCTTTCTGGTCCTTCTGTTAATATCAGTTAGGGTGTGTTTGTCTCCCATTATTGGGAGAAAAATAGAGTAATGAATAGTATTTTTTGGAGAATGTGTGGTTGAAATTTAAAATAATTTTATTGGTTTGTGTGCAGAATATTTTATTGGGTGAATGTGTGGTGGAGAATCTTACTGTAGCAAACAATTTTTTGGAATAATTGTAGACAAAGAGGGGCTTAGTCTTTCTAATGGAATGTATATATGACAATCTGATGTCAAATCAACATAGAGGTCGTCCAGGAGTGACCATACTGAAACAAAGAAGCAAACTGAAACTCCCACTTTGGAACAAAATAAAGTTCGGTGACTAACATCACTAAAATTTGAGTTGCTAAAAGTGTTTTTTTACCTCAATGAAACATGTACTGTTCATGCAAAGTAAGAAACTGACCAAAAGATACAGGTTATTGTCAAGAATAGCACTAACAAGAAAATCCAACAATGAACTAAGCATTATGTGTGATGCTTAACCTTAATTGAACTACTACATTTGTATACTCTTGCCCAAGAAGGAAAATGTGACCAATGACAGACAATTATTTTGAAAAACACAAGGAGAAGAAAAGTTAACCTGGCTTGGATAATTTCTCCATAACTTTAAACAGGGGATCAGACCTCAAGCACATGTAACATCTTTGAACGCGATTTTCATAAGGCGAATGAGGATCTTCTCCAAGCTGCAATGCCTGAAATTCAAAACGGTCAGTAGCTCAGGGACAAAAATCAAGTATGGTGTTTATGTCTGATTTGGATTAGTAGATAAAGGTATCAAATATATCCAAAACATCGGGTTGCGATAAAGCGAATATTAAAAATCCATTGATGTTGGATCACGTATGAACACAATCAATGTGCTAACCTGATGAATGGTTATTTCATCAAGATTAATGTGCACATAATTTTTATCCTTTGCCAAAGCAGTGATACCGCTGTCAAAATGGTGCAATAAGCTTAAACTTTGGAAAGTGCCGCGCAGATCAGAAAGCCGAAAAACAAAATTTCCCATGTATCATAACTGCAATGCTAACCTTCGAGAATAAACGTCCAACAATGAATCATTTTCATCAACAATGGGAATTGAACTTACTCGAGCTGCAGAGAAGCAGACATAAGATGTATATAAGACAATTTTATTTCTAAATCTAAATGCTTCATAAATAAACACTAGGAAGTGGTCATTGTTTGAAGCAATGTCTTAGAATGATGCCTACATATACCATATTGTATACCTTCTTTGATCAACAAGGTGTACCTAGAGATCAGTGAATTCAGAAATAATATATTTAAAAAAATTCAAGAAAATGCCAGCAGTTATTATCAACTTCTGGAAAAGGAATTTGAGAATCCAACTCTTCAAAGAATTAAATGCGTACCTTGAACTAACAAATTTAGTGCTGCACTAAGGGAAGCACTCGACCTCAACACAGCAAATGGCCGAACATTTGGTTCTCCAATTCTGGGAACCCAAGTTCCAACTGGGATTGTACAAATTGGCATTTGAAGTGCTGGCAATGACCCTGGTGAGTGTCTGAAATACAGACAAAGACCTGTAAAAAGGCAGAACGTGTCAATCATGACGATAAAATGCATCACTTTTGGCCCACATACACACACACATATACAAGTTTTTTCTGTCCTAAAGCATGAATTCAATTCCCAATTTTAAAGAACAAAAACAGAAAAAACTAGTACTTTCAATCCACAAGGCTAGACAGCATTAGAATTCCACTGACTGCACAATGACCCAAACACCAAGCATTGGAATTATCCCGACAGCCACCAAGACGATCATCAATAAAGGCTCGTTATCATATAAAAGAAAACAAAAATCACGAAGCAGAGATAGTCAAAATGGAAAAGGCAAAAAGAAAAAGAAAAAAAAAAGAAAGAAAATATTTAAGGCTTTTCATTCTAGTTGTGCAGTTCCACTGGAGACAAACAGCTTCATAGCCTGGCCAAAACTACGTGATCCAATAAATGGAAAAAGGAAATGATTTCACATTAAACATCAACCTTTCAGTACGTCTATTACAAGAACTTACTGTGCAGGAGAGATGAATAAAGAATAATCAAGTTTCAGGCAATGAAGGTAAGGTGGTGCTTAATACCAGATAAGAAGAGAAAGGGAATGCCGAACATAGAGAGGATTGCTATAATAAGAGCAGTGAAGCTCTGAAGCATTTAAAAGAAGGATGAAGACTACTCTAGAATATGACTGGTAGTCAACAGGAAAAATGTTACCCAACTTTTTTCCCAAATTTTAATGGTGTATCGGTTCCAGCCGGAGAAAGCACATAACTTTACCAGACCCAACACTTCTTTCTTTCCTTTTTTCGATCTTGTATTTTCCTCTTATCTGCTTTAGATCCGTTCCCTGGTTATCTTAATGCTCCAATTTCTAAGAAGTGGATGGCAACGTGAGACTAAAAAATGGTGGAGTACTATCCTCCTCTCCTCTCCTCTCTAGCATAGGATATTTCACCATTCTGAATATACATAAAAAAAAAATTGAGCGTGCTTCTCCTCACATTTTAGTACTCCGGATAGAGAAGCTAGATGTAGTAGCTGCGGGTATGATCCATCCTCTGAAGGTGAATGAATTATAGGAACTGTAGCCACACCGTTTTGCAAAATTTTCAATGCAACTTCTTTGATATTATCATCTGGCCCAGCCTGAATAATAATACAATGTGCGTTGATCAAGACCAAAAGTTGCACGAAATGTTGCTTACTAAAATATCATTAACAAATTTGACAAGAACCTGGAGGTATGGCTAATATGGATAATTTCAATGTTGAGGCTCGGCAAATAGAATCAACACTTACATGCACAAGACGTCTTGAAACTGCAACCTGTTGTTCCGTAAGCTGTCTGTTCAGGGATGTTTTTGCTTCTTTCCAAGCAGATATTGTATGTGTGTCAAGCTCTTCCTCCGTTATATTTGAACCATGATTTCCAAGCTGCATATGCATCAAAGAGAATCAGGAAAACCACAGTTTAAGTCTACGGGTACATCCAAATACTGGTACACGATCTTATTGGAACCCCAAAAAGTATGGTTACAAAAGTACCTTCAACCCCACCCCTTCCTGCAGTTTTTAATCTTAGTGGAGATGAAGTGTCATAATTAAGAGATAATAAAAAACAATTTTCGTGTTTATCCATATTTTTAAATCCCAGACAATCATAGCATCATTTAGAGTTCCAGAAAACATAATATAACACTCCTTAACATATCTATTTTCCCTTCCAGCATAGAATGGAGAAAAATAAGAAACTAGGTCACTCTGGTCATAAGGTTACAGAATCAAAGGGAAAACTATTTCCTTCGAGGAAACAAATCAGTAACATAACCATGAGTTTATCTAATAAAAAGTAAACAAAGCTTGTGTACAAGAAACTCTCATTACTCATTAGAAAAGAAAGAAACAAAACCAAAGGACAAAATGGGTAACAAAGCTAATATTCAGAATCTATGCTCCAAAAAATTGCGAAAGGGCTTACATACCTCCCTCATAATTAAAATAAAATCCAGTGCACTAAGAACTCCAACAAACTTCCCCTTGCTGAAGTCCCATAAAGGGGCCATAGGTATTCCCTGAAAAAATGTCACTCAAAAGAGGCGGATATAAATGAGGTATCCAAAGAAAGTAAATGCACAAAAACATCAAAAAGAATGGACAAATGACAGATACAGCTTAAAACACCTTTTCCTAGGAGGTAGAACAGCTTAAAAAATGGGCAATTTAACGAATTAGCTGGCTACAAAATAATGCATTGTAGATTCTTAGTTGCATTGACGAACAATTATAAGAGAGACAGCACTATATGCATACCAAAAATAAACCTCCAATTTTGTTGACTACATCACCACAGTCAGACAACAAGGTCAGCAACTCAAAGAACAGCAAATTGTTATGGTTTTACAGAACCGTAGTTTCAAATTATTTTTCATATTCTCGTTCCATCTCAAATTGCACATTTGTAAAACCGAATTCCCAAAATTATCAGCAGATATTTCCTTTTATTGTGACAACCAAATATCGCTTTCTGTTAAATGATTGAATTGTAAGATTCATCCAGAAAGCTCTACAAGAGTAACAAAGCTAGTGAACCAGCCTGACGCTATAATTAGACCCACAACACTTGGTAATATATTTCTCAGATACATAGAGAAATTGGTGATAACTTCAATCCTCAAATAAATTTTAGAAATACCTGCTCGTGTAGAATATGAAATGCTTGCTTCACAGGTAGGTCAACATCCAAAGCAATGACCTGTAATTCGAATGTAATTGCATCATGAAAATTCCAAATTAAACAAAACTAGAGAGATATCAATGGAAAAAATTGATGGTGAAGCATAAACTGTCCTGACCTTGCCTGATTCCGGAAGCAACTCATAAGCCAGGTGTGTGGACATGAATACAGCTATACGATGTCGAGACATCTGTAAATCATCTTCTGAAATTCTACGAAAGGGCTCATGCAATGTACCATCTGATACTAGGACCTGTAACAAATAGAAAGATGCTCTATCATCTTCTGAAATTCATGAAATTTTGTTCATAATAGTTTATTTAAGACATAAAAATCTAAAATACTCTAAACCACTGTTTGGTTTAGATAAAAAATTAGATATTCAGTAGATTTGAAAAGTTATGAATCCCATGAAGTGTGTGTGGTCATAAAATGTGGCCAAACAAGGGCTAAATAAACAAAAACCTAAAATAAGCTTTACGCGTTTATACATAATTGTATATGGTATTTTATAAACGAATGGGGCAGTCTAGCGGAACACATCAGCTAAAGAAAGCTGAGGTTTTTGAGTCCGAAACTTGGCACTCCATTTTGTAAATATTAAAGGACTGGTGGGTTTGGTCAAATGGGTTAACTGGTTTCCTCCAAACCTGGCCGGTTCAGACATGTCAAGGGCAGTTCACTTACCAATAGGCCCTAATATGCTGAACTGACAAGATAAGGCTTCGGTTCACCAGTTTACTGGCCCGTTGGAACAGCAAGTCAGGTCCGGGCTTAAAAACTATGACCCAAGATAGAAAAGTTGCAAATCTAAAATCTTCAACCACCTTAGACTATTATAGAATAAGTAGGATTCTTCCAAGGCAGGTAACAACATAATGGAAACTAAATTAAGTCGCCTAGAGACTTTTGTTTGACCAAAATGGTGTTTCTTGAGATGGAACAGGCAATGTTTGTATTGGGCTTCCAAAGCGTATAGTTTTTATCCAGCCAGCTATTTTGTATCAGATCAAATCATAAAGCACATGGACAAAAATAGAATACCAGGAAACATTTCCGAAAGAAAATGTATGAAAACGCCAATGACATACCACACGCTGAAAGGCTGCGTTATCGACATCCATGGTAGAACCAGGAGGCATTTGCGGACATACAATTGCCGAAAGGTAATCGGATTCCCTGCCCAGAAGGACAGTGTTCACAGTTCCGAAGTTACTATTAATAGAAGGCTGGTGCTCATCATGTCGCCATTCACCATCCACAATATATTTGTACTGCAGGTAAAGTAACAAATTAACGAAGTCAAAAATTTCCTCAAAAAAAGGTTACTGAGGAACAACCCAACATAATCAAAACAAATTCTACATTTTCAGACATGATTGTGTGAGTTTCTCACAATTCCATTTTATGAATGGAATAAGTTCATCCTCCAGCTGAAATCACCATCATAGTGTGACCTGACACAGTAATTAGTCCTAAACTAAATGGGATTTTATGTGTTTTGCAATGTCAACATTGATATTTTGGCATAATGCAATGTTAGGCCAGGAATTATTCATTTTTCCATAAGAAAAAAAAATTAGTGATGAATACAAAGGTTGGTTCTTGTAGAAGATGTCATTTCAAGAAAAACATATTAATATAAAAAAGAGTAAAATGAGATGCATCCAAATTTTTATCCGGTCATCTTTAGCCACATGCTCTGGCCCATAATTAGTGTATTTTTCATTGCAATCTCTTGGTCTAAACACCTGGTTATAATCTGAATTGGCCAAAACATATTTTTAGCTCTTTCACACATTTGAATAGTCTCACATGCTTCAAACTTATTTGATTAATGACAGTTAGCATTTAGTTAAACGTCCTTGCCTGTAGTTTTTCTTCCAATTTCAGGGCTCAATCTTAAAAGTTCTCATGCAAAATCTACACTTTATCCTCTCTATCCAACCATTCAAGGGATATATTTGTTAATTTACCGGCATCCGAAACTCAGAATATATTCTTATATTCGTTGCAATTTCCTTCAATGAGCTAAAAAATCTCTCAATCTCAATTATCCAACAAATACAGAAAGATAACTAAAGCTTAAAAAAATAAAAAGTTAGCAACTTCATCCGCTCAGTCAAATATAAGCCCAAGTACAATACAAGATCAGCATGGGGGACACCCATAATGATTAGAACAGAGTAGCCAACCGAGACCATAAATAAGTCTCTTCTTTGCGAGTCATTAATCTTTATATTTTAGATGGTCATAAAATTAATGATATAAGAAGACACTGTCAGCATCCTTTAATTATATAGCATAACACTGTCCCCTCAAAAGAAACCAAATTCATTGAAAATCAGAGTTGTTCCTTATGGAGAAAAATCCAAAAACATATATTGCCATTTGAACAATCAATTTTTCATAGTAACTTTGATCATATCTAATCATGAAAAAGCGAGTCATTAATGAAGCACTAAAAACTTTGTAACAGAATGCCACATTACATAACTAACCTGGTGATAACCGGGAGGCAGGCTACAAATGGTCTGAAACATGGTAGGGCATCCTTCAAGAGGAGTCATAGGCCATTGGGTCCACCTTTAACAAATTAACAGTATATCCGATCAACCATACAAACAATATAACACAACAAACAACCAAAATATCCTAAAATGATGACTAAAGAAGCTGTAAATTCAACAGGCAGGAAATAATTCTTTTTGTAGCGCTAATTAACTCTCACCCAGTAAATGAGCCAGTGATATACACACTCCTCCCACCATATGGCCACACAAAACGGGTGGGAATCAAAAGTGCGCCACTTTCACGCCCATAATCCATCCCAGCAGGATACATTCACTCCAAAATAGTACTAAAAATTTCCCCAAAAAACACTAGAATTTAGTACATAAGTCCTAATAATTTTACAGTACCAATAATAAAATCCAAAAAAATTCAAACAATTATTAGGAAAGCCAGTGATCCATTAGCTTCTTTAAACTCCCAAACAGCTCATAACACTGGAAAACTTAACGCAGATGTTGAAAATTACTACCTAAACTCAAATCGCCACTAAAAGAACACAAATTCTACTTTCAAAATGTGCCTTAAAATAAACTGATGCAAATCCAATTTTTTTTCTTAATGTAAACACTCCTAATGGTACCACAAAGGACTCTGTAATTGCACGAACACGATTCCTAAAGATTCAAAAGTTCAAAAACCTAAGAACAAAAATTAAAACCTCAAAATAAGAAAGATATGTACTAAACTTTAATATTAAACCACAAAACAAAATAGTATAATGCAAAGCTCCGATCTTGAAATTATATAAATGTATCTACGAAAAAGTATGAAATGCTGAAAAATTGAGACTTTGATCAGATTCTCCAATAATAAAAACTTATAAGCTGCAACGAAAAAAATATTTTTTGGAATCGAGGCTTAAAGAGCTGAATAAATTTGGAAAATTGAGAAAAGGGAAATTGTCATGAGAGAAGAAAGGGTAATTAGCAGAAAACGTCTCTAACGTTCACATTCATTGCTAAAATAGTCCTTATCGTTTTAAATTTGGCATTTGCACCCTTATTTCAAACCTTTATTGCGGAATTGGTCCTTCTGCTAAATTCCGTTAAATCCACGTTAATGGAGCTATTTTTGGTTTTGAATTTTTCTTATTTTTGTCTCAATTTTGCAGGCTTATTACGGGATGTCAAAAGAAGTCTAAATATTACATTCTTAATACCATTTCAAAGTGCT